CGGATAAACTATGGGACGACGACGAATTGGTGGCTGAGGACCAAGCGAAGACGGCGGCAGATGATGAGCCGCTGGAAGGGAACCACGAGATTCCCATCGACCACCTCTATTTCATCAAGCCCCTCAAGACGAAGACCGGAAAGGAGGTTATGAGGGCGATCCAAGAGGTGGTGCTACAGCTACGACAAGAAAATCTCCCAGTCCTCAGAATCCATTCAGATCGAGCTCATGAGTTAAGGTCGCCGGCTTTGAGGGCGTGGACGCTGGATAACAATATCTGGCTCACAAGAACGGAGGGGCAAGCCCCCCAAAGCAATGGAACAGCCGAAAGAGCAGTGCGGTTTCTCAAAGGGCGAGCTCGAACGCTGTTGCGCTCGGCTGGAATGGGGACCGAGCACTGGGCCACCGCAATGGAGGCAGCAGCCCATCGACAACGTGAAGAACGACTCCGACCAGAAGATCCTCGGGTTCCCTGTCCCTATGGAACCAGAGTGGCAATCAAGAAGAAAAGGTACGGGGATGGTGGTCGACACGATCTGCTACCTCATTGGACAAAGGGGGTCTACATGGGGCCGGTGTGGGATGTGAATGGCGGATCAGCCATTTTGGAAGACGAGACTAAACGCTTCACGGTCACAACCCACCTACGAGCTCGACTACATGATCCCGGAGCTTTGAAAGACGAGGACGAGATCGATGTGCTACCTTTGAGACCGGCACGAAGGTTACTCAAAAAGGGGCCCATTGGTGAAGATGGGCTCGCTATCAGATGCGAAGGAGCGAGCCGCTCTTGTGAAGGAGATCTTGGACTTGATGGAAAAGGATCCAGTGCACAAGGTGAAAAGGCCGCAGCTGACTGTTGAGGACGGCGACCGCGAGGACACCAGCTACTCAACAGTTGGGGCTTTTAACTTTGGGGGAAAGTTTGGCATAACGAAGTACACAAAGGAGGCCCCGCAGCTCACGGAGAAGGTGACCCAGTTGCTGAAGATGGACTTCCCAATGGAGGCGTTCACGTCGGCAACAATTGTGAGGAATGCGGTTATGCCAACGCACAGGGACTCCTTCAACGACAAGCACTCCTACAACCTTATATCTCCTCTGAGGACAACAAAGGGCGCAGGCGTGTGGGAGGAGCTTCAGCCGGGCGATGTGTTTCGTGGAAAATATCATGCTATGGACGTCAACGGAGCTGAGGTTCCAGGCCAGATCCACATGCTCACGGAGCCCGTGAAGGTGAATCCTCGGAGATGGCATAGTCCCATTCAGGGAACAGAGGGACTTCGCATTTTGGTCGCGGGACACACTATCAACTTGTGGAGGAAGCTCACCGCAGAGATGAGGGAGGAGCTGATTGAGTGTGGTTTCGCTGTGCCTGATGAAGAAGACTTCGATGCGAAGCTAAGGGCCATCCAAGAGGAGGCGGAGCAAACCCGCCACATGGAGTTTGAAGTGCACGAAGGCGATTGTCTGGGGGACCTCAGTGAAAGAGACTCCCCAGTGGAAGTGGACGAGGACATCACGAGATGCTCGAAGGCGGCGGTGGAAAACCTCTACACCAAGGGTATCGAGAAGATCCTTGCGGAGCTGGAGGGTGATCTGAGGGTGGTCCACACGGTCCACCCGAAGGAGGTCGAGGAGGCCATTGCCGAGTGGATCCCCGCCTTGAATGCCGAGGTCAGCACTTTGGAGAATATCGGCGCGGTCAAAAGATTGCGAGGCAAAGCAGCGCGGGACTATATGGCTCAGCCAGGAGCTGTGATAGTTCCGGGCAAAGCCGTATTCACAGTGAAACCTCCGACAAAGGAAGGTACGAGGTTCCGAAGAAAAGCCAGGATCGTGTCGTGCGGAAACTTCCAGCCGAAGGCCGACAACGAGATCAACTACTCTGGAGGTGCGGTGGCAGAAGCAGTGCGGCTAGGCATCGCGGAGGCGGCGCGGAACCGCTGGAGCGCATGCACTGGGGATGTGGTCAGCGCATTTCTCAGAGCTCCAGTGCCAGATGGAACGAGGTTGGCGCTGCGACCACCGATAGCGTTGGTCAAGGCCGGCTTGGCAGAAGCCGATGAGATTTGGGTAGTGCAAACTGCCCTGTATGGCTTTAGATCTTCCCCTCGATGGTGGAGTGACCACAGGACGCAGAAGATGAAGCAGGCAAAGACCGAGAGCGGCCTCACCTTCATCCAAGGACAAGCCGACGCTGACGTGTGGCAGATCAAAGGCCCAGATGGAGAGACCACGATAGGGCTGATGATCGTCTACGTTGATGATTTCCTTATCCTGGGACCACGATGGGTGACGAATGAGGCCTACGAGTGGATGGCTGCAACCTGGGAGGTCACGCCGTGTCAGTATGCCGAGTCCTCCACCTCCGTGCGGTTTTTAGGAATGGAAATCAGGCAGGAGACAAACGAAGAAGGGGAGATCACAAGCTACACCTTGGACCAGGAGGGGTACATTGAAGAGCTTCTACGACAACACGCGGTGAGCCCCACTGAGAAGTCCCTGTTGCCGTCGGCCAAGGAGTGGATGGCAATGGATCCCGAGGCATACCCCACCATGTACACCCAAGAACACCTACGTGCCGCCCAGTCGATAACTGGAGAGCTGGCATGGCTGGCCCAGCGATGCAGGCCAGATCTGTCCTACACGGTGAGCGTGATGGGTAGCCTGACGACGAAAGACCCAGAGAGAGTTGCGACCATAGGCCGCAAGACCCTTGCCTACCTGAACGCGACGAAGCAATGGAAGCTGAGTTTCTTCGCTGGGGGCAGTCCGGACTTGGTGACTTACACCGACAGCAGCTACTCCTCAGATGGGGAAAAGAGCCATGGTGGTGCAGTCGTGTTTTGGGCAGGGTCACCGGTCGCATGGAAAAGCAGCCGGCAGTCGCTGGTAACAACCAGCAGCGCGGAGACTGAGTTGCTTGAGGCGTCGGAAGGGGCGACGCTGACCTACTCGATCGATGCTATGTTGTCGGACGTTGGAATTGTCCCTCTATCAAGAGAAGTTAGAGTCGACAACTCGGCAGCGATCACGCTGGCTTCTGAAGAAGGAGGGAGCTGGCGAACACGCCACCTGAAGGTGAGGGCGGCGGCACTACGGCAAAGGATCCAAGAGGGATGGGCGCGCATTGCCTATTGCCCGGGAGAGTGGCAGTTGGCAGATGGTCTTACCAAGATCCTGCCGTCAAAAAGAATGGAGATGCTCATGCGAAGGTGGGGACTTGGGCGCAAGGAAGATCTACCTCGGGGAGAAGACGCCAAAGAATGTGTTCGGTGCCTTCAAGCTCCAGCAGATCAGCCGCAGCACCCTACAACAGCAGAGCAGCAGCATCTTGCAACAGTAGAACACCATGCAACGCCAGAGCAACGAACCACAAGACCACAGCCACCACCACCAGCCCACGGGGGTAATTTGGGTTGCTGTACCGGCTTATTGGTTTTAGCTCACATTATAGCTAGCGTACAGGGTCATAGGATTTCCGAAACTGACCCGCTTCCGGAGCCCCTTGCGATAAGTAGCTCCTGGGAATTGTACGTGCTGGTTACAATGCTGGTGATATGTGCTGTTGCAATATGGGAAGGCTGCAAGGGCGTGATCAAAGGAAGAAGTGAGGCGGTAAGGCTGAAAAGCCTCGAGACCTCGCGAGATCGTCAGCGACTTTCAAAGGTCGAGCTGAGGACGTTGAGTGCCTTGCTGCAGAGGGATCCGGAGACGCTGTCGCGAGAAGAGCGGGTGGATTTGATCCACCTGGCGGGCCTGTGTGGTTCGGATGTATCTGAGGCTGTTGGGATGAATGTTTCCTCCTCTCGCTCAAGAAGGACATCCAGTTTTGCCCCAGACCCTACGTGCTCTGCAGGAATGAGGCCAGAGGAGGAGGAACCATGTGCAGCTCCTCCACCTCCTCAACCGGTTCAAGAAAGACCTACGAGAAAGGGCACGAAGATTCCCTCAGCTGCGCCTATGTCAAGTTGGGACGATCCAGTATGGAACGAACGGCCTTCGCTGGTCAACCGTTCCGGAAGAGCTCCGAGGACAAGGGAAGCAGCAACGCAGTGCGAGCTCTTGGGCGATGTTCCCAAGAAAGTGTACATGGCGCCTAAGGGGACGTGTGTTCATGCTTCAAGATCGTGTTCGACCTTAAATTCCTCGACGAGGTTTCAGGAACGCGACGTGTGCCAGAAATGTGTGCGAGGCCAACGAGAAGAGACCGAGTATCGTGGCACAGAGTGGTTACGATGAGATGGTGAAGCGACTGACGTCGCCACCAAGGAGGGGTGAAGAAACCTCTGCATGCAGCCTTGAGTCTGAACGGTCATGTGTATAGACTAACAGTGGAGCTGTTAATGATCGTTGCTGATCCGCATGCTCAAGCGGAAAACATGCCATGATCGGCAGAAAGACAGGCATGATCAGCAGAAGCACAGCCATGATCGGCAGAAGCACAGCCGTCACTGGCATAGCAGGCACTGTAAAGAAGCTTGCTGACATGCTCTTGCGTGGAAAAATTCGATAGGAGTGCGCGAAGGGTTGATGGTCGAGAGCTGGTTTTAAGGCGCCGTGAGCCTTTCGACAACCACGTTGTACCGAAGACGAACCCGTTCGAACTCCTCAAGCCCTTCAAGACTTTCACAGAGTAGGAGTCGGGGTGGTGGCAGTAGTAGCAGTAGTAGTGGTAGCAGTAGTAGTAGTAGTAGCAGCAGCAGCAGCAGCAGTTGTTGCGATCAGCTCAAATAGCCTTATTTGTGTAAATTGTGCTGAAGGTAATGAAAATTGAACGAATACCGATGTTATTACTATACTTGCGAAAGGCGATGCTTTGAAAAAGAGCCCGACTCCAATCCCGTACAGTTGAGAAGCAGCACTTGAAGCCCTTCGTTTGCTCAATCGGCAACAGTCTGAGACTCCTTTTGCTACGGGGCGTAGACGACAGGCGCACACATAAGACCTGATGAACACAACCGACAGATCAGCAAATAAGCCAATCTCCGAGCAGCAGCACGCTGCTGCAGCTGGATGAGTCGTAGTCGGAGCAACCTTACTGGGCTTAGAAGGAACCTGAATGATTCGCGCAGACTGCTCGGGGTATGTTCTACTAGAGCTATATTATGTACAAGCAGCAGTAAACGGCTTACAGGGTGTGCTTCTCACTAGTTGTTCAACCTCGTTGTTCGGTTCTAGGCCACCCAACCACCTAGCAACCTATAGGGGCTTAAATAATTACCACTACGATTTTTGGGCTTCCTTATCATAGTCTTTGTATCATGGGCCCCCAAGCCCCATTCTAATTATTCAGGCCCCTACATTAGACCCTTTGCAACTCCAATACTCCCTGGACTTGCTTTCGGTGGACCAATCCTAAGGGTCCATGTGCCCAAATAGTATATACTTTGGGCCCAAGGTACCTATATAGGGAGTACTTTACCGCCATTGTATACCCTAAACCCTAAACTCTAAACCCTAAACCCATGAGTAGATGGACCCTTAGACCAAACCCTGCTGTTTTGGCAGTTCAGAGCTCCTGGTGCCATCCTCAAGAGTTCGTGCATGTGGGAGTTTCCGATTTAATTAAGGGTACCTTAGGGTTCCTTTGAAGGGATCCTTAAATAGGGTTCCGTTAAGGGGATCTATAAGGGGTCTTTAAATGGTTTTTTTGTTTAGAGTTTCCGAACAATTAAGGGTAATTTTTTGCGGGGTCCTTATAATGAGGATCCTACTATTTAGGGTAGTTTATTAGGGTACCCCATTTTCGGAAACTCCTATGTCGTGGACGTCAGATTTTGGCTGGAAGTGGCTTCTGCTGTTGTTCTCCAGGAACCTAAACCCTAAACCCTAAACGATCCCTCGCATGGATTGCTTCAAGGCTCATGGGTCAATGCTTGCAGACACTCTTTAGGGTTTAGGTTTCAGGGCTTAGGCTTTCTTGTCTTGTGCTGACAGCCAGAGCATGTGGCGGATTCGTATAAAAGGGCATGAGCTATCCTTGCGAGCGTGTCACAAGACGATACCTTGTCCTTTTGATTCCACACTAGAGTCGCCCATTTTTTGGACGCCCCTTCCGGGTACGGAATAGTCCTGCAAACGCCTCTCATACGGCTTGAAAGCTGGCTCATCGTGGCAAACGTAAATAGTAAACCCATCAGCCGTAAAACCCTAAACCCGAAGGCCTAAACTCCAAGGGTAAAAAGAGGGACCCTTAATAAGGACCCCTAGGTATATACCCTTAATGTAGCCATTATATACCCATTTTTAATTTTGTAGCCCATTAGAGGGTAGGGGGTAGGGCTCCCCATTAAGGGTCCCTCCCTTTCCCCTTCGATAAACCCCCACCCCATAAAGCCTGCATACCTGGCACCTGAGCTATGACCAGGAGCCCGCCTATGCGGCCGAAATGCTTTGAGATCCCGGTTCTTAGACCCCTACCTATAGTCTCCATTGCATGCAGTTCGTTTTCGGCGTTACCTTACAGGACCCTAATTATATATTTGGTAAAACCTGGAAAAGGAACTACAATGGAGGCTATAGGTACTGTAGGTCCAGCTTGTCGGTTTACGGTTTTGGTGTTAAGGTTTTCGGGTTTAGGGAACTCCAAAAAAGGGTTCAGAATGATTAGTGCGAAGATTCCCTATACTTGACCTGAAGGGTATGAGGATGCTGATGTCCCAACTTCCTGGACTCTGCTGATTCTACTGTGCGATTTAGGGCTTAGCGGTTTTTATATCTGGCAAATTTCCAGCTTGGGTTTAGCTAAGTGTCCGGTTTAGGCCTTCAAACTTGGGTCTTAGGGAAGCTTAGGGTTTCGACTTTTTTTGTAGCAAATGCGAAGTTTCGGGTTCAGGCACACGCATACTTGGGAGTTGCAGACATCAGCACTTTATCGAACTCCGCATGAGAGGGGCCCTCTCCTCCGAGGACACCCAAACCAAGCACCCTTGATTTCAAGACCCACTGAGCCCAGAATGCCCATTATGAAACCCCGTGAAAAGATTATAACCTTAACTACTCTAGAACATTACTCTTCAAGGACCCTGAATCCCTTCTCTTAGTGAGGCAACCCGTCAAGAAACCTAAAACCTACTAGTACTTGTTAAAACCGTCACAAAGCTCCTCCCCCCAACCCTAAACTCTAAACTTCCCCCCTCCGGCGCTTAGACAAGTTGCCAGCACACAAATATGAACGTCCCCGTATAACCCAAGGCGAAACCTTGCGGCGCAAGTCGTTCTTCGAGCAAGCTCAGGGAAACAATCCATGCAGGCTTTAGGGTCTAGGGTTTTGCGGGTTCATAGGGCTTGTATTACGGGCTTGGCATCATCAGGATGTTCTGGAAATCGACACCGACACGAACCTTTCCGACCCAACCCGCAGAACCAGTTGTCGGGTTCCATGAGCGAAATATCCTCGACCCTCTCCCAAACCCGATTCGTTCGTTTAGGTTTGAGGTTTCTGATTCTGGGGTACAATCTACCGGAACTAGAACGCTTGACAACAGCACGAATCCTCCGCACCCACACACTACTCTTGCGGTACTGCACCAAAATCAGCACATCTTGACCCGCACCAAATGATGGATGCCCCTACGAGACCTCCTAAACGCTGCCGTAAAACCGCCCCACAAAGAGCCCTAACACCCTATGGTAAACACCGTAATAAAATTGAAACCGGATCAAAGCCAACTAGTGACAGTGCTGCGATTCCCTATACATTACTCTTAAGGATTGCAGCTACCGGGTTTCCAACTTAACCCTAAACACTAAATGGGCTTCTACTCGGAGGTTCATGGGTAGTTCGAAGTAGGGTTATGAGTGGGGTAGCTATACATATAACCCATATCAGGGGACTTATAACCCCATTTCATGAACCTCCAAGTACTGTAAACCCTAGAAGGGGCCCCCACCCTGTAATAGCGATTATAAGGATTGTATTAGGGCCCTAATACAATCCTTGTAATCACTATTACAGGGCGGGGGGGGGCCCTTCTAACTTATAACTACCCATGAAACTCCAAGTAGAGCCCTGAACCCTATACCCTTACAGAATCCCTATAGATCCCTTTAAAGGGACCCTTAACTTAAGGAAACCTTATAACTACCCATGAACCTCCAAGTACTGTAAACACAGAGACTCCAATATTCCTTAATTAGGGAATATACCCTAAATCATATAAGGGATCCTACTATAACTTAAGGAATATTCCTTAATTAAGGGATTTTGGAGTCTCTGTGAACCCACGAGCAGACCTGACAAGTTCGTGAACTGATCGTGAGCCAGCTCCGGGTACTCGAAAGGCGAATCGCGCATTCCGGCCTCGGCTGGAAAGAAAGAGCTTCTGAAGACGTGGTTTAAGTGTACTCCCCAAACTAGTTCCGATGTGTGGTTTCTTGGTTATATGTCTAAAAACACAGGAGGTTTGGGGTTTAGGATGTCTTAAGAATGATGCATGGGAGTGTATGGGTTACTTTCGGCTTTGTCGCGATAGCTACGTAAGTTTCAGGACTGATCCAATATTCGCTCAACCGAGGACTAGTGATGCAAAGGACAAGCAAGCTCAGGGCTATAATGGCTTAGGGTTTTCGTTGAGGGTTTAGGGTTATGCATGTACCCCTCAACCGTAGCATTGCAAGCACACCCACCTCCTCGCTTGGTGGATAGAAATAGCACCTTGGTTGCAGCACACATCATCTCGCAAAAGAAGGACGAACCACTCAGTAGGACCCTGAACCCCTCAACCCAGTCATACAAACCCCCAAATCGCAAAAACCTTCAACCCTAAACCCTCAACCCCCCAATATCGGCCCTTCTCTCGCCCCTTGCGGTTCTGGGTCCGGGATGTTTCTTGCAAGTCTGCAGACTCTCCCCAGTCTCGGGCCAAAGACAAGAGGCCCAAAGAGTAAATACTCTGTGAAGTCGTCCCAGTATAAGCACTTTGGGGCCACAGTATGTACTACTTGGGCACATGGACACTTACGGAAGAGTTTTGGTGATCCCTGCTAGGTGAGACATCTACGGATGCCAGTGCAACAGCTGACATATCTGCATGTGGGAGTTTCCGAAAATAGGGGACCCTAATACAGTACCCTAAATAGTAGGATCCTTGTTATCAGGACCCCAAAATAAGGTACCCCTAATTTTCGGAAACTCCCATCTAGAAGCTGGATGTTCACATCAACTTTGGCTGTTGAAGGTTCTTCTTCAACTCGTTGGGATCTTCATCAAAATCCTGAAACCTTCACCCCCAAAGCCCTAAACCCTAAACTCCTGAATCACCCCCCAAGTTTGGCTCTATTATCTAGTGCGGTGGTTTCATCTACGAATTCCTACAACTCAGAGGTTCAGGTCCCCTTCATGAGCCTGGGAATTCACCCGACGCTGAAATTCCAACTTTGAAGCTCGTAGCCTCTCGGGTATGCAGAGAAGTTGAAAACAGGAGATAAGGCTGGCCCCGGGACATGCAAGGGCACGAACATGAAGATGCTCCAAATCTCTGGCCTCTACAATGCGGAAAAAGCCGACGGGAGCATGTAACAGGTCGGGGGTCTCAGGGGGGCGGTTCGGATTGATATATGCTAACTTTGGGGTTTAGGCTTAGGGTAGCGGCGTGTTGCATGTCGAACCAACTACAACTGTCAGGAGCATACGAAAAAAACAGCTGAGAACAAATATCAGGGCTTCCCCTCTTCCAACCCCCCCCACTCTTTTGGACTGTAAGAAGAGTGGCAAAACCTAAACTAAACCCTAAACCCTAAAACCCCAAAAGCCCGGCACCTTAAACCTAAAGCCCGAAATCGTAAATCCCCTGAATCCTGAAACCTTCACCCCCAAAGCCCTAAACCCTAAACTCCTAAATCACCCCCCCAAGTTTGGCTCTTGGTCTGCCGTCTTCCCACTCGAACCCAAGGCACGGGTAGCCTTCTTCTCGCAGGGAAGCCGCACCTGAGTTTTAGGCGATGTTTGGGGTTTAGGGTTCAGGATTAGGGTTTAGGGTTTAGATTTAGAGTTGTGTCTGTTTTGTTGTTTTGCGGTTTGGGGTTTCGGGATTTTACGAGAAAACTTGCTTGTCTGACAGGGTGGAAAGTGGATTTGCAGCTCGTTTTTGACAGGAGCTATGTGTGGGTTAATGGAAACCCTCCTTAGGCTCGTGATCACAGCTGTCCGCAGCTTCACCTGAGCCCTGAGCCCGAAAGCAAAAGACCCAAACCAAGTTAAAAGGCTGCATCAAAAAAAATGACTTCCCCCCTGGACCCAAAACCGTAAGTCCATACACTCTTCAGCTTGAACCCTAAACCCCTTGTGGAACCGGTATGAAACCCAGGGACTCCAAGACCCCTTAACCTTAATCAAGGAATGTTATACCTTAAATGTAATAAGGCCCCTAATATGATTTAAAAGTATATTCCTTAGTTAAGGGATAGGGCCCGAATTTCCTCATCAGCGAGGCATGTCGTAGAGCCCCAGTTCCCATGCATTTGCTCCAATGGAGAAGGGAACGACCGAGATCTCGTACGTGGTGTGGAAGCTCGGCGAGGGTCATGCCGCGATGCTTGGGGATCGCCTACTCGAGGACATCCAACTTCCCCGCAGCTTGCAGGGCTTGACTTTTGGCTGTACCGTCAACCAGAGCTTCGAAGACATCCAACTACCCAGCAGGTTGCAAAGTTTGACGTCTGGCCTCGCGTTCAACCAGAGTCTGGAAGGCATCCAACTCCACAGCAGCTTGCACAGGACGTTTGGCGAATCGTGCAACCAGAGCCTGGAGGGTATACAATTACCAAGCAGCTTGCAGAGTTTGTCGTTTGGCTATGCATGCAACCACAGCTTGGAGTGTATCCGGCTCCCCAGCAGCCCGCCGAGCTTGACGTTTGGCGAGTCGGTCAGCAACAGTTCGGAGGGCATCCAACTCCCCAGCAGTCTGCAGAGCTTGATGTTTGGCCGTGCTTTCAACCGCTGTTTGGAGGACAGCCAGCTACCGAGCCGCCTGCGGAGTCTGTCGCTTGGTTATACATTCAACCGGAGCCTAAAGGGCTGCCGGCTGCCCAGCAGCTTGCGGAGTTCTACGTTTGATGATGCCTTCAGCCGGTGTTTAGATGGCAACCAACTACCCAGCATCCTTCTGAGTTTGACGCTTGGTTATGCATTCTGCCGTAGCCTAGTGGGCAGCCAACGACCCAACAGCCTGCGGAGGCTGACGTTTCGTGACGTGATCAACCGGAGCCCGTTGGGTCGTCAACCGCCCAACAGCTTTCAGAGTTTGACCCTTGTCTATGCGGTCAGCCAGAGCTGGGAGTGCATCCAACCACCCAGCAGCCCGCGGAGTTTGACGCTTGGTTTTGCGTTCAACCGGAGCCTAAAGGGCCGCCAACGACTCGGCAGCTTGCGTCTGACGCTTGGTGATGCGTTCAACCGGAGCCTGGAGGAATTCAGCCACCCAACAGCTTGCAGACTTTGACCTTTGGCCATGCGTTCACCGGAGTGCTGCGGAGCGACGCTCATACAGACGAGATGTGTGACGTGAAATCTTGCTCGGCACCAAAGGCCTATGCCATCATTGCCAATGCCCTGCTGAAGAGTGAGGGGTCTTCAGCTGATTCGAACTCAAGTGAGGACGTGTTGAGTGCAGAATGACAATTGCTGCAGCTCTTTTTCCTTAGACCTTGTGTAGGGAGGTTGCGGAATAACAATCGCCGCAGCTCTTTAGGTTGTGCTGTTCATGTAGTCCCACGGTTCTTTGCAGTCCCCCTTTCAATTTTGTGCACTTTGTTCGGACAGCTGTTCCGTGTTCGCTAGGCCCTGACGTGTGCACACGCTGTCACTGCACAAATCAGCGGCTTGGTATGAGGGCTCTGGGGGAAAGGATCGCCTGATGGAGCCCGTTGTAGAGGAATACCTTTTCTTCCGTTTTGGACTGTAGACCGTGGGATCTGTAGTACAGGCGCTTTTCTGGCTCGCCCAAGGGAATGCCAAGCGCTAGTGTAAAAGGCAAGGCATGGCTTTTGTAATTTGCGTTTGAGCGCTGGAGATACGGCTTTTGGCGTTTAGTGCTGCCGGGTTAGGCTCCGCGCTCGCTTGGCAGATTTCTGCGCCACCCGTCTCCTCGGGGTGAGTGCATACTGCCGTTCGAGTTTTTGAATTCAATGCATGATTTTTGGGACGCGTCTGTCGACTCTGCTGTCCGTTGCAATGCAAAAAAAGTTAAGGGATATTGGAGTCCCATAAACCCTAAACCCTAAAGATCCCTTAAAGGATCCCTTAAAGGAGCCCCAACCCTGAGTATTGCTTAGTGAATTAAGGGATGCTGGAGTCCGTGGGACCCAAGCAACATCCCAGAGACTCCAATATCCCTTAATTAAGGAATATACCCTAAGTTATAGAAATTAAGGGATATTGGAGTCTCTGGGATCTGCATGAGCTGAGGGGCAGATCCGTCTCGCCTTTTCGTAGGCATCGCAGGGCTGTGCGGAGCAGTTCCAGGCCTCCAGCGCTACGGCTTCGGTCTTAGTGTTTAGGGAAGCTTAGGGACGGAAGTTGCTTCGGGACGGAAGTTTGGGAGTTTGGGGGTTCAGGGTTTGGAGGGAGTTTAGGGGTTTTAGGGTTTGGGGGGTGTAGGAGTTTAGGATTCGGGGTTTGAGGGCTTAGGGCTTAAGGGTCTGCAGACCTTCATATTTGGCCCGCAAGGGTTCCTCCATCCGGGTTTCTGGTCGTAGCGCTCAAGTGTTTGCATGCTATCTTTAAACCACAATATACTGGGTCTTCGCAGGGGTTTAGAGTTCTGCGGTACATTATACCCCTATAATTACAATCAACACTATACAGAAGGGATACTATTTCGAATTGCCTGAGCCTGTACAGAAGACACCAACTCCGGAACCCATGCCAGAACATCTCATTTTCACAACGAGGCACCTGTGCATCACAAGGCGCTTGTTTCCACATGGTCACCCCCTTCTCCTGGGGAACAGACTTATGTGTGGGCGGTGGTATCAGACCCAACCCCACGTCTGACCACCCCCCCCAAACATCAAACCCAACGCCGCTGCATGTGTCAACTCTAGACCCAAAGCCGCGGTTCACTCCGCTACTTCCCCCAGGCTGCAACAAGCAACAAGGGTTTGGGGCTTTCGGGTTAAAGGCTTCCCCTCGGCCTAACATAGACTGTTCTAGATTTGACGGATTTTAGGCTATACGTTTCGTATCGTTTCGTCTCCATTACTCTTTATTCTTCTTGGTTGAACCAATTGTTTAGCCAAGTTAGGGTCCTATAAGGCAGCCCACACAAGGGACTTCAATGCAGACTGTAGGTCAAGCTTTGGTTTAACGGACAACAGAGTCGGTTTCAATTGTCGGGCTTGAAGGTTTATAAGGGTTTAGGGCATGGGTTGTCCTGACACGGGTGCATAATTGCAAAGTGCAAAGTTTGTCCCTTTACACTTCCTCTGAAGCGGGTTGCTTTCTTAAATCCCAACAATGAGAAACACGACACAGAAAAGAGGTAGTTTGGGAGATTGTGTTAAACCATCGATTTACTATTGGCAACCACTCATGCAGGCGTCCATATTACCCCGATGGCCTAGCTAGGTAATCTCCTGCCAGCAGTAAACGCCAGTCTTGTACGTGCGCGAGCGGTGAAAGGCAGTCAGATTTGCCACCGGAGCGCCTTAGCTAAACATGCCTAAATATACAGATTTCAAGGAAGTATCTGGTGGAGAGGGTTCAGTGAATTATTTTAAGTTGTGTCCTTTTGCGATAAACTCCACCGCAGACACCCCAAACCATTAAATCCAACCACCCTAAGCCCTAAATCCTACAGCCCTAAACCCTAGACCCAAGAGTAACCTAGGAATAAAAAGGGTGCCCTTTTTGCGATAAAGGGGGTTATAAGGGAACCTAAACCCTCAAAAAGGGAATAAGGGCCTACTCCGGGTCCTAGAACCGTTACAGACCACAGAATAAATCCGGCAAGCCTCAGGCCTAAAGCAGGACTTTGGCGGGCTTCAAGGCTTCAAACCCCCAGGAAACTTATCGAAAGCCCAGAGCGTCCAAAATCCCTCAATCAAGGAATATACCTTAAGTGTCCTTAAACCATAGTAGAACCCCTAAATTAAGGGATAGTGGAGTCTGGGGGAGTATAGCCCCACATCCCAAATATGACAGCATCAAGCCTAGTTAATAAGCAGCTTGAATACATCCGACGAAGCCTTTGTAGCCTTTTTTACACAGAGGGGTTGCCTTGAGTTGTAGGAGTGTTGCCTTTTTGCTAAACTTTTCTGGGGGGGGTTGGGGTTCATAAGGTCTGCGGCCAGGGTTCGCGCTTCGGAATTTGCGTTTTCTTGGAAATTTTCATCCGGCTCCTTATCAGGCCTTCGGTTTAGGGTTTAGGGTTTAGGGTTTAGGGTTTAGGGTTTAGGGTTTAGGGTTTAGGGTTTAGGGTTTAGGGTTTAGGGTTTAGGGTTTAGGGTTTAGGGTTTAGGGTTTAGGGTTTAGGGTTTAGGGTTTAGGGTTTAGGGTTTTTTAGGGTTTAGGGTTTAGGGTTTAGGGTTTAGGGTTTAGGGTTTAGGGTTTAGGGTTTAGGGTTTAGGGTTTAGGGTTTAGGGTTTAGGGTTTAGGGTTTAGGGTTTAGGGTTTAGGGTTTAGGGTTTAGGGTTTAGGGTTTAGGGTTTAGGGTTTAGGGTGTGTAACAGTATGCGCGCGGTGGGTGCGCCTTTTACTTTAGGAATAGGGGGCGCACCCACTAATCGCGCGCTTGCGTCAGCATGTAGTCCCGCCCCAACCACCCCAACTATTCTCAATTAGGGTTTAGGGTTCACCCCCCAAACCCCCCTCAAGGGGGGCTTTCTTGCTCTCTGCTTCCTTTCGCAGCTTGACATGTAAACAATAATGTATCTCCAGGAATCACAACCGAAATGGATTGCTGTCGGGTTGTGGGTCCTCGCGGCCTGTGCCGGCCGCTCGATGTAAAGCAAGGGTTTCCAACAAACAGCTTGCATCTCGCGCCCTGTAAGGGGTGCTCGAAGTGTGAACAAGGCGGGGCAAGAGGGCGGGCAGGGCAGGCAGAGGGGCAGGGCGGGAGGGCGGCAGGAAGGGGCCAGGCCAGGGCGGGCAGGCCAGGCAGAAGGCAGGGCCAGGGCAGGGCAGGGTAGGGCAGGGCAGGCCAGGGCAGGGGGGGGGCACCCCCCAAAGCAGGGCAGGGGCGAAAATGCAGGAAATTTGGAGGGAAGCCCCAGGTCCCTGGAGTCGGCCAGCTTGGGGCCCCAGACCCCCCTGAGGTTACCCCCCAGACCCCCCAGGCCAGACCAAAAACACGTTAATGGTGAGGGATTTGGGGTCTATCTTTACTGCCTAACGGCAGAGAGGTCATTCGCGGGGCGGCGTCACTGCAGTCCCCGTATACCGGGAGGCTTTACCCTCCCTCACCGTTCTGACGGGACGCTCGGTCGGGGACCTCGGTCAGAGCCTCGAGCGCCCATGCAAATGGTCAGCGGCGCTCTCGGCAGTTTAGGGTTTAGGGTTTAGGGTTTAGGGTTTAGGGTTTAGGGTTTAGGGTGTAGGGTTTAGGGTTTAGGGTTTAGGGTTTAGGGTTTAGGGTTTAGGGTTTAGGGTTTAGGGTGTGTCGACCAAACTGTTGCGGTAAAAAGAATGTAGAACGGACGTCGGCGTTTTTTTGCGTAAGAGAGTTCGTCACGTCCGTGGACTTCGATATACATCCCACCACAACCCACCCGGAGCATTTGTCCTTAGCTTAAGTCCTTAAGCGTCCATCACGAAGGAGAGACCCATGCAGCTACAGGCACGCGGACAGTCTTTGCACCGTTACGGCGGCGATGACAACTCTAAGAGCAGCCAAACGAAAAGAAAGGAGGAGACCTCGGATTCGCACTTGCCCTGCATTAAAAGGCACATTTTATGAACAGAAATTGGTACACCAAAATCAGCACCAGTTCTCCAATCGCTGAAGGTCAAGGCAGAGTTTAAAGCAGCCACACGAAAAGAACGGCTTTGTTTTGCTGCAGAATGTGGCTTCGGCCGCTTTAGGCACCCATAGGCACCGGATGGTTTAGAGCAGGCACACGAAAAGAACGGCCTTGTTTTGCTGCAGAATGTGGCCGCGACCTGCTTGGGCACACACGAGCACTCGAGGGTCCATTTTTCGATCCTAAGCCTGGGAACCCAGTTTAGAGCAGGCACACGAAAAAAAACGGCCCTGTTTTGCTGCAGAATCTGGCTTTGGCCGCTTTGGGCACCCAGAGGCACCGGATGGTTTAGAGCAGGCACACGAAAAGAACAGCCCTGTTTTGCTGCAGAATGTGGCCCCGACCGGCTTGGGCACACACGAGCACTCGAGGGTCCATTTTTTGATCCGAGCTCCGAGGGACGGAGTTTAGGGATTGGGAAGGCGGCTAAGAGCAGCCACACGAAAAGAAAGGGGAGCACCTCGAGATTCGCAGCCGGCCTAGTCTAAAAGGCACATTTTATGAACAGAATTTGTCAATTGAAAATCACCAGCAATTTTCCAAATTTCCGGAAGCAAAAATGTAGAAAATCTGAATTTAAGAGCTGGTTGTCCTTTTCCGAAAAGGACAAGCACGACTAAATGTAGAAAATCTAGGATTTAGAGCTGGTTCTCCTTTTCCTAAGAGGACAAGCGCGACTAAATGTAGAAAATCTAGATTTTAGAGCTGGTTGTCCTTTTCCGAAAAGGACAAGCGCGACTAAATGTAGAAAATCTAGATTTTAGAGCTGGTTGTCCTTTTCCGAAAAGGACAAGCGCGACTAAATGTAGAAAATCTAGATTTTAGAGCCGGCACACGAAAAGAACGGCCCTGTTTTGCTGCAGAATGTGGCCCCGACCTGCTTGGGCACACACGAGCACTCGAGGGTCCATTTTTTGATCCGAGCTCCGAGGGACGGAGTTTAGGGATGGGGAAGGCGGCTAAGAGCAGCCACACGAAAAGAAAGGCGGGCACCTCGAGATTCGCAGCCGGCGTAGTCTAAAAGGCACATTTTATGAACAGAATTTATCACTTGAAAATCACCAGCAATTTTCCAGAATTCTGGAGGCAAACATGTGGAAAATCTGAATTTAAGAGCTGGCTGTCCTTTTCCGAAAAGGACAAGCGCGACTAAATGTAGAAAACTAGGATTTAGAGCTGGTTCTCCTTTTCCGAAGAGGACAAGCGCGACTAAATGAAGAAAACCTTGATTTTAGAGCTGGTTGTCCTTTACCGAAAAGGACAAGCGCGACTAAATGTAGAAAATCTGATTTTAGAGCTGGTTGTCCTTTTCCGAAAAGGACAAGCGCGACTAAATGTAGAAAATCTAGATTTTAGAGCTGGTTGTCCTTTTCCGAAAAGGACAAGCGCGACTAAAATGTAGAAAATCCAAGATTTAGAGCTGGTTGTCCTTTTCCGAAAAGGACAAGCGCGACTAAATGTTGAAAATCTAGGATTTAGAGCTGGTTGTCCTTTTCCGAAAAGGACAAGCGCGACTAAATGTTGAAAATCTAGATTTTAGAGCTAGTTGTCCTTTTCCGAAAAGGACAAGCGCGACTAAATGTAGAAAATCTAGCATTTAAGAGCTAGTTGTCCTTTTCCGAAAAGGACAAGCGCGACTAAATGTTGAAAATCTAGGATTTAGAGCTGGTTGTCCTTTTCCGAAAAGGACAAGCGCGACTAAATATTGAAATCCGGAAGCTTAAGAGCAGCCACACGAAAAGAAAGGAGGGGACCTCGAGATTCGCAACCGGCCTTCTCTAAAAAGCACATTTTATGAACAGAATTTGTCACTTGAAAATCACAAGCAAAAATCCAAATTTCTGATGTTGGAAATCTAGGATTTAGAGCTGGTTGTCCTTTTCCGAAAAGGACAAGCGCGACTAAATCTTGAAAATCTAGGATTTAGAGCTGGTTCTCCTTTTCCGAAAAGGACAAGCGCGACTA